GGGGGGGGGTGTTCTCGTGCATGGATGGAAGATTCATGACTTTGGATGAAATGGTGAAGAATATCATGGAGTTTCACGCAAACTCACAGCCATCCGTTGTGGGATCGAGCGACGATGTCTTGAGCGAACGCAAGCAACAACAATAAAAAGTACTTGCTCGACGCCAGGACGATGTCGTTGCCTTTGGCGAATTTGAAGCCGCATGTTTAAGCAAAGGAATCAGGAGCAGACTCAAGAAGCAGTACTTGGAAGGAATAATGTGACATTCAAACGGTTGGAATGAACGAAAGCAGGAAAGATTAAATGAAGAAGTCAGGTGTAGATTCAATTGATAAATGTGATTGTTTGGAACGAGCTATAGCAAACAAAACGAGATGAAACACGATTCAAGGTTGGAGGAGATTGATTCAAAGGATTTTGGTCTGGAACAAGACCACGATGGGTGTGACCTTGGCGGAGGGTTGCATTCAACCGTGCCAGTGCCTTTTGCGACGACAACCTTCCAAACAGAAGGAGATTTAGGAACCTCTAGGGACGGACGAGTTGATTAAGAGGTGAGCATGACTTATAAAAAAGGGGAAATCAATATGGGTCGAGTAAGGGAACACAACCTATACTTCATGGGTGGAATAAACTCTATCGAGAAATTTGGGATGAGACTCACGCATAAGGAAGCTGAAGATGCCAATCTTTGAAGAAGAGGTTGAGGATATGAAAGTTTTCTTGGAGCAATTTTAGTTAAAAGTGGTGCAACAATAATCGACATGTGGAAAAGTGTTGATTAATTCGAAATGATTGTCATATTTTGATGCCATGTGAAAGCTATACAACTTGATCCAACATTAGTTTTTTCTCTTACACCTTGAGCACAATTTGTCTTTTTGGTAGGGGAGTAATGTTTGACCAACACCTACGACATTGTCCGGCTCATGTTCCACTGAGTCGACATTGAGCCCGTCAAAATAGTTTGAAGACTTATGTGAGGTGTAAGACTAAAAGGACAATCTAGTTGTTGGTTAGTTTTTATTGTGAGGTATACATTTGGCTTAATATGTTTAGGGTTTTGTTACGTGTGATTGTTGTTTTAAATCATAGGGTTAGAGTTTGGGAATGATAGCCTACCTCTGAATTATAGGTGCTTATCTTTTATGTATTCGGGAATGTATCATTTTGATTTAGTAAGAGTGGAATAGAATCAATTACTTCTACCCTAATTTCTATGAAAACTTGCCTCATTTTTATCCGTGGATTTTAACTTCCATTCTCAAGCTCTTGATACCACCACTGCAGCCACGACAACAAGCGCATGACCAATTATGAGATTCTCATGTTTTATAGTTTTCAATTTTCTGATTTGGGTATAATGTCTTCTAAAAGCATCAAGTTAGCCTTTTAAAGAAGTTCTGATATTTATATGCAGGAATGGTGTTGCAGTGGCGGAGAAGCTGTTCGAGAATCAAATATAGAAAAGAATAGAGATAAAGTCGAAAGAATTGTAATATTATTCCATACATCCCACTAACATAAGCATGTACAAGTATATATAGTCCATTACAACGAGACCAAATAATAAAACAATAAGTGTGACTTTAATTAATAGTGGTAATAAGAAGAAAAACAAAAAGGTGATAATGTAAAAACTTAAATGATAGAAATACATTCTAAAAGGCTGAGCCAAGACCACAACAAATCTCCCCTACTTTAGAACATGAATCGAATGATATAATTTGTGTTGGAACTTTATCCGAGGGTGATACAAATAGATATCAAAGATATTGAATGTAGAAGATGTTAGTATATATGATGGTAAATCCACAATATGATCATTATAGTTTAAACATTTAGCTATTGGGAACGAACTAAGATTGTGCGTACTCAGTTTCAAATACATTTTGGGAGCAAACCTTTCCTTGCAAAGTTGAACCATTACAAGGTCTCTCAGATTGAAACCTCTCGACACTTGTAGGAGTTCTTAGCAATCATATATTTGGTATTGAAAGTGGCTAATTCAGTAGGTACCTTTACGGATAAATTGGAAATGTTATCAACCATTGTTGACCATTGTAATAAGCCAACAAAAAAATAATTAAATTAAAATCCATAACATTCAGAGTTTGGAAACTGAAACTGCTATTGCTCCAAAATCTTAATAACACCACATTTTGATTCTTCTCGTCCAAACCACACGCAGCTTAGATGAAAATTCTCGTTGTTTTAATCGAAGCGCCCGTCTCCCTTTTTTTTCATTTCTTATTTGTTCGTTTCTCACACGACCAATTTCTCTCTGCACTCGCCCCAACCACACCAGCCGACGACACCTCTCTATTTTAAGGTACATGTGATGTATGCTCTCGCTGTATCTTGACTTGGTAAAACTAGAGTGATTAGATTGGTTAAAGACTTCATCCTTACTCCTGCAATGTCAACAAATTGTGTTGCACGCTTAGATTACTTATACCTCACAAATGTTCTTTTACAAACCACAACCAAGTTGTAAAGTATAAAAAAAGGTTAGGAATATGTTTTTTAGGAGACTTGACTGTGATACTAGACTCAAATTAGCGGTTATTTCATCCATCAGCGGAAGATGACTGATTCTCATTAGAGAGTCCACTCTTAGAGGAAAATTTCACATCGAATATGACTATTCTCATGATGCTATTTTGTATTGGTGATGACGATGATGATTCATAGATTTGATCTCCAAGTTGAATCCAATGGACTCCGAATCTAAGACATCATACTTCTTGATCCTGACGATCTGATAGTTAGCATTTTTTCTTTGATATTGAGGGCAATCCTTCTATTATTTGGATGAGGACGAATCCTGCTGTAAGCGCTGAAATTTAGATATCAGACAATCCAAACAATTTCATGTTGTTATTTTCGAAATCTAATTTCGTTGCTTCAATCCAAACAAAATATTTCAACAAACTAACCGAGACGATGTTCTTAATGAGTCATATCTTGCTTATAATTTCTTTGAATATAAAAAATTAGATTTGACATCT